CAAGTCCTGCTCAAACCGAGACCCTGCTGAACCTGCCAAATGTGTGAAGGACAGCACTGGAAATCAGACTGTAGTCTGACCTCATTCAGGCCTCAGCCAGTCCAGCATGGCCGCCTCTGGATCCGGTTGGAAGCTCCCAGACCTCTTGGACTGGCCACTGAAGAAGCTGCCCAGGCCCTGACAGGGCCCCACAGACTTACACCACCAGGACAGAGCCTCGGGTAAGGACTGTGGCGACAGGTAAGCCGATCTCCTTTTTAATTGACACTGGGGCCACTTATTCTGCCCTCTTTGAATTCGCTGGGACCCTTGTCCACTCCTCAGTCTCTATTATGGGGGTTGACGGATTAGTCTCACAGCCATTAGCCACCTCACCTCTACACTGCATCTTACTAAATTCCCCCATTCGCTCTTTTCTCATTCTACCTCGGTGCCCAGCCAGGGCTACCATGCATCCCCTCATAAAGCCCAGTTGTCCCAAACCACAGTCACCTACCCAAGTTTCACTCTCTCACCCCACAAGGCCAAGCCATTCCTGGGACTGTAAATGCCTCATCTCCTTATCTCCTCTGTGACTGTCCCCTCCTCTGAATAAGAAATGTTCTCCTTTCTCAGGCTCACTGGGTACTCTCGCCTCCGGTTCACAACTGTAGTCTTGCAAAGCTCTTCTATGACATGACATGGCGAAGGGACCCCCTCACTGAGCCTTCAGATCCCAAGGCCAACATTCTCACCCCTTTAATGCTCTGAAAATTGCTCTGACCTCAGTGCCTTCTCACCCTGTCCCCCTCCCCCACTCCACCCTTCCCAAAGAACAACTTCCTTGACTGCACAGGCTTACTTAACAGTCCGGCTATTATCAGAAACTGAGATCATTATCTCTAGGAAAAATGCAGCAGTTTTAAAATCCAAGCGGCTAGAGGCCTGGGAGCAGGCTGCGGGGCCTACTCCCTCCTCCCCCTGCCTTTTCTCCAGCCTCATCTTCCACTGCTCCTTTCCTTCCCTTTCTCGATTTCCTTGGATAACAGCCCATTCTAAGATCCCCTCCCACTTTCACTGCAATACCTACCTCTCTCAGGCTCACCAAATGCCTCCCACCATCCCCGAAGAAGACTCAGTGGCACCATCCAGGACCTGATGACCCATCATTCCTTACAGGCTAAATTCTACTATTCCCTGCAGTACATCCTGGAGGACTGGTCCTGGTGGCGACCACGATCTGCTTCCCCAGAAGACTTACACTCATGGATAGTAGATCTTACCTGGCAAGGGACCCTCCGACATTTTACTCTGGAAGAAGCTCAGGTTTTCAAATTCCTTTTATATGTCTTGTCTCCTCACCATAATCCTCCTACAGGCAGCTAACAATGAATGCACCAATGAAGGTTTTTGGTCTTTTCAGGTGAAACGGACTTGGGATGATGAGGGAGTCATCAATTCTACTATAATTGTCTTTATCAAAACCTATATTAATCCCTGACCTATCCCTCCCCCACTAAAGGACATTCTCTCTCACTCTGCAGACCCCGGACCTACTCCTTTGCCCACCCTCATCAACACAACTTTCCATCTACTCTCTAACGTCAATCCCTCCTTCTCTACATTCTGCTGGATTTGTCTGTCACTGGCTCGAACCCTCATCATAGCCACTCCAATCCAACCTATTGGACCACTAACTTAACTCTTACCTATACCAGACCTCAACGCACCCTATACAACATCTCTCTCTTCAATATGGAAAACACTACCTGTTTAACAAATACCTCTCAAACCACTACCTCAACTACCCCTACACCTTACTACTGTGCACAATCTATAAATTTACCCCCTCCCTTAGCCTGCCCTCCACCGGGTATTTTTCTCTTCTGTGGGACTACAGCCTACACCTGTGTTCCCCAGGACCTGTCACACTCGCTCTGCCTTTATGTCTTCCTAACCCCCAATCTTTCTATCAGAACAGAGGGAGAACTCGAATCCTCTCTTGGTCTTCTCAGGTCTCGCCACAAAAGGGCGGCCCTTGTTCCCCTCTTAGTGGGTACGGGAGTTCTCACTGCAGTAGGGACAGGAGTAGGAGGCATTTCCTCCTCTGTTCATTTCTACCACAAATTGCTGAATTTTCAGACGATATCTCCATCATTAGCAATTCCCTTGAATCCCTTCAAAGGCAGGTAGACTCCTTAGCAGTGGTAGCCCTACAGAACCGGCGTGTTTTAGATCTCTTGACAGCAGAAAAAGCGGGTACCTGTGTCTTTCTTGGGGAAGAATGCTGCTACTTTGTAAATGAATCAGGAATTGTCAAAGATCACATTAAATCCCTCTGGGACAGGATTGACCAAAGACGCCGTAACCAGCTAGAAGGGGGGTATGCCATCTTTGGCTCACTTACTCCATGGCTCCTCCCACTATTAGGCCCACTGGTATTTATTCTTTTAATTTTGCTCTTTGGCCCCTGTCTCACGTGCTGTTTCACTAGTTTTTTGCAGGACAGAATGTAGGCGTTCACCAACCAGAAGGTGGGAGAGATCTATCTGACCTTGAATTCAGAACCTAGAGACACCTATGTCACCGGAATCTTTGAGACCCTGGGTAGATGCCCCTGACAACGCCCCCTCTCAGCAGGAAGTAGCTACGGAAGACGGACCCTTGTCCCCTGAGCTTGCCCAGACTCTCAATTTTTTTTACTATTACCAAAAGCCTGGAATGATAGATCCTCCCTTCCCCCAACTGGTGGGCAGAGTATGACCTAACCTGCAGCCTGGAAATACCTGAGTGATTAACTATGTACCTTATATGGACTATACATTGGACCACCATTCCACACCTGCCAAATACCCTAAGCCATTGTCCTATATGGACAATGCAGTAAGCCACCAATCAGTGTGCGCCGAGTACACTAAGCCCCCACCCCTTCCCATTCCACCCCTCAAAAGGCGTGCTCACCCCTGCACGTGCTGCTGTTCTCCCCTTTTGAGACAGCCCGGCAGGTCCTTCTCCTCTAATATAGCCTGTAGTCCTGATTTTCGGCCTCTGATTTTTCAAGTGGGGTCCACAGTGTACTCTCTCTGATTTGGTGTTACTAGTTGTGGGGTTCCCTTAATTGTGAGTTAAGAAAGGTGAGAGAGAGGAGATCATGGCGGCCAAATAGGCAGACCTTTCTTTCACCTTCTCCCAGGGTCAGACTAGTGTGGATGCAAGGGGCCACATGCTAACCTGACAAGCTCAGGGCAGGCCTGCATAGCAGTCTTGCAGACTCAGAGACCTAAAGTAACCACAAAGCATGGTCTGAAATTAAACTTTAACTAAAAGCAGTTATGGTGGGTAGTTACATCCTAGGCTGGTATCTTCACTGACAAGGTCAACCTTTACCTTAACTGAGCCTATCTGTCTTTTTGCATCTATAATAACATACCCTTGAAATGTCTGGGTAACTTGTAACTTCCCTTTTTCCGGACCCCTTGGGGCACAACCTAATGTGCTGGGCACCAGGACAGATACCACAAATTCCTTCATTGCTATCATGTTTGTTCCTGCACCCACCTAAGTATGTGTCTATCATTTTACTTTTTATCCAATCCCAGGGGTTTCCCGGCTTTGCTTTCTCCCGCATCTCTAGTCTATCACCAATGGATTTCATGTAACCCACCTTTGATTGCAATGTATAAATACAGATGTAACCCGCCAATCTCCGGAGCATTATCTCAATTTGTTGAGGTTCTGCTTCCCAGCATATGTCGACAGTTTGGCTCAAATAAACTCACAAAAATTCTTTACAGGTTTCAATGTTTCTTTTTTTTTATGTTAACAGTCTTATAAAGTTAACTATACAATTACCAATCATGCAGAAATCCTATGTCTAGGTACTCACCCAAGGAAAAAAAAACACTCACGCTCACACAAAAACCCACACGTCTTTATAGCTGCTTTATTCATATAACCCCAAACTAGAAACAATCCACATGTCTCTCAATTGCTAAACAGAAAAATTATTGTGCATCTGTTACCAGTGAGATGACAAGATTTGGTTGTCTTCTTGAAAGACAGATTTCAGTCAAGAGACAAAGTACAGCAAAGCAAGCAAGAATTTATTG